ACGTCCCGATGATTGCGCGCAAGTGGAACGAGCACTCGGGCCCATCAGTAAGAAAGATAAGATAAGATAATAAGATTCTGATAAGACATCATAATTAAGCATAATTGGCTCATGCATATTTATTCATGTGACAGTTATTTAGTTATTTTGCGGGAGATAGTTCATACTTGCTGAGCGAAAGCTCATTATAGAATGTTTATACTGTAGGTAAGCAACCGGCATATAATGCCTGATGGAATGCTGGCGAGTGGACGAACGATGTGGGGCTCGGGATATGGATACCACTCACAAATATTTCCGCAATCAGCTTTATGTTATAAATAGTTTTGTTAATTTTGATTCTGAAACAGATATGTTAAGGTTTAAATATTTTAATTAAGAAAGCAATTTTGTATCTTATGTTTATTATAAGACCTTTAAAAAAAAAAATGTTCCGTAAATTTTAAGAAATTTCAGTAAGTACAAGTTAAAAAGTTAGTTACAGTGGCGACCTCAAAAGAGGGTCGCTACACAAACAGGCCTCAGTTTCAGCCATAAAGCACATGATTTCACTTTTTGATTCAATAGTTATTTAGGCCTTGTTTGTTTTAACTATCTGAATTGTTGTTTAGGATTCAAACTGTTGTTTAAAATTCAATTAATGTTTGGTAGATGACACTGTAAGAACAATTCAAACCATTAATAATGGTTTAAACCCTTAGATTTTATAATTCACCACCCCCACAAAATTTTAACAATCCTATAGTAAAAACAATTCTTATTTTATTTTTTCTTTTTCTTCAATTTTAAGCTTAAAAATTTCATAACTTCTTTGTTTTAATTTCGATTTAGATGATTTTTTTTAATGTGTTCATAATGAAGAGAGGAACAAATCCCCCATCCATATTGCATTTTTTTAGATGTCATTCATAATGAGATTTTATAAATTTGTTACAAAACTCGAATGACAGTTTTCAACACTTTATCCAAACACAGTTCATATTTATTTCCAATTCGAATTACAATTTATTTGCATATCCAAACACCGATTTGAATCACAATTCAAATCACCACAACTCAAAACTAAATCAACAATTTGAATCGTTGAACTAAACAAGACCTTAATTTTTGTTAATTTATTACTTTTTTGTAAAATGGCATCGTTGTATAGTCTAGAATTTATTGGAATAAAGAATTAAAAGAACAGAGAAAGGCATTTTTGCTAATTGTCATTGCGACAAAAAAAAGAGTAATATTAGGGATACTAACTCAAATCTCAACTCTTGTGTATCAATTAGTATTACATGTGAATTGTCATTTTTTTTATTAATAGATGAAATCTCTTATGTGGGGGGGGGGGGGGGGGTTGTCGGAGAAGACTGTGGGTGGTTGATTTTTTGGAGTTTTTAAGAAAATGAAAATGGTTCAATCGTTTTCAGTTTTGTTGGGTTTTTAAGAATAAAAGAAAAAACGTTTTCATTTTATGTTTTTCAAAAAATGCTGCCAAACGACTTTCTCGGAGCATTTTTAATTTTTAGTCCTTGAAAAACGGAATCAAACAGCCCCGTATATTTGTTGGCATGCTGCATGTGAAAAGGGAAGGGGTAAAATATCCATTGGATCGTGCAAAAAAAGTATAATAATTTTGATGAAAAAAGCACAAAAAAATAAAGATTCGACACGTGGCAGCAGACATTCAACAATGTTGACACTTTTGCCCCCATCATACAATCTCAAGTCTCTACAAAGCAGAACACAGAAACAGAGCAAATATTCTGTCGACTTCAGTAAATAAATAAGGAATAGAGACACGTTTTGAAGGGGAAAAAAAAAAAGGACAAAACGAGGATGACTGAAACCACAAACAATATTGAGCAGCCAAAAGGCAAGTTGGTGTTATACGCATAAAGTCTCCATCAATTAACGCCGTATCAATGCATCCATTTTTATTCCCATGTGGTATATATTGTGCAACTAGCATCCGTACGTCAAGTTATGTCTCATACACCACAGCTCCACAAAAAAGAAAAGAAAAAGAACATATATCACGTTGTATAGAGAATAATTATTAGTATAAAAGTTTAATAATTAGTGTGGTTTTGGAGAGAGAGAGAGAGAGAATATGATAGGGATAAGGGAGCGAAAATTCATGAGTCCAGTCTTCTCTACATCTTCAATCTTTGTGGTGTTGCCCATTATCCCTTTGGCGGCCCTCTTGGTAATTTTTTTCTCCAATTATTCGGTTCTGGTGACCACCCCTTCTTCTTCTTCTTCTTCTTCTTCCCCAACATCTGAGTTATGGAGAATCATAGGTAATAATTCATCTTCAGCTGCAACTACTGCTAATCTCTCCATTCAATTAGCACCCGCAGAAACTCCCCTAATCAGTTTCCCAAAACCCGATTTTCGCACCATATCATCGACTCCCGAAGCAGCTTCTCAAATAGTAAGAAAAGGAATCAACTTCTTCATTTTCTTCATGTGTATGAACTATATTACATATGAGTTAATTCTTAATTATCTGGTGTTGTTAATATTTAATTACTTGGTCTAATAATTATAATAGGGAGAAGAAAATCAGAATAAAAGTGGTACTCAAAATTCAAGAAGCAGAGATGTTGCAAAAATAAAACTGAGCAGCAGTCTGCATAAATTGGAAGCAAGGTTGGTTGAAGTAAGGGCTTCCATAAGGGAAGCTGCTCTTGTTGCCAGGAACTTCACCCCTAATAGTCATGACTCGCTCTCAGACCCGGACTTTACTCCAAAAGGACACATATACAGGAACCCAAATGCTTTCCACAGGTTGTATATACATACATACATACATACATACATATATATATATAAGATGCTTGAAGAGTTACCTCTCCTCTTAGTTTCTTGTTGTTCTCCTCCAAAATTATTCTCGATATAGAAGTAGTTTTTCTCTCCTCTCTCTCAATTTTTCTAATCTTCTTCCAACTACTTTATAATGTTTTTTTTTTTTAATATTCTCTCTCATTTATCATGAAAATTGTTATAATTTATATATATAATGTTCTGATCAGTTATAAACTTGTATTAATTTTTGGATCCATCACCAATATATATATATATATATATATATATATGTATTAACTGATCTAGGAGTTACCTAGAAATGGAAAAGTTGATGAAGATATACGTGTACGAGGAAGGAGAACCGCCGGTGTTTCATGACGGGCCATGTAGAAGCATATACTCATCGGAGGGAAGATTCATCCATGAGATAGAAAAGGGCGGGTTGTTTCGGACAAGAGATCCCAACAAGGCACTCGTGTATTTCTTGCCGTTTAGCGTTGTGAACATGGTTCGGTACTTGTACGTACCGGATTCTCATGACACAAAACCCATGCGGCGTGTCGTCGTCGACTACATGAATCTCATTGCACATAAACATCCCTTCTGGAACCGCAGCCTTGGTGCCGACCATTTCATGCTTTCTTGTCATGATTGGGTAATTACTAACTTCTTTAATTTTTCTACTTTCATTTTAACCTTCTATTCTTTTCTTCACTGCTTCCCATCTAATTTTGATTGTTTTGTTGCCATTGAAGAATACAAGATAGGACCACCATTTTTTATTTTTTTGTAGCTTCTACTGTCCATTTTGTTGGCTTTCTCCATCTCTTGTGTGGGAAATTAAGAATCTAGTAATGAAAAATAAACATTTATTTGACCGATCGTAACTTATTGCCTTGCCTTGAGTTTTTGTTTTTTTTTTTCAAAAAGAGTATTACTGCAAAGCGTATGTATACATGTTTAGCATTTTTCGTAGGTTAAAAATTTCAATACTCGTTTTAAGTTTGGTCAACGTATGTTTATTGTAAGGATTCTTTAAGGTTCCAATATATAGGCAGTAGCACAAAATACAAAATACCTTAACTAAATTGTAATTTTGGCAACAACAAAAAAAAGAAGATTGTAATTTTGGCAAAACAATTTCTTTCACGATTTCTCAATACCATAATAATTATATATTAGTGTCTCCCGATCCCGTATGTGTTTAGCATTTCCTTGCTATTCGTTATGTCTTCTTCTTTCTTTTCCAGGATTTATTTATGATTTCCATATTTGGATAAAAAATTGATTCCCCAGACACCTTTTATCTTCAAATTCTTTTACAAAATGGATGGGTATATCCATTTTTGTCAATATAGTCTATTGCTACCATTCTAATCATTTCTTGACACTGGAATAACTTCTTTATCTTTGTTTTGCCTTGATTGATTACTGCTTATCCAGTAAGGCTTCCATATCACAAAAATTCAAAACGAGGTCAACACCATGCACAAGAAAGATCAAAGTTTAAAAGGCCATTTTTGAATTACTATTGGGGCTCCTAAAATTGGGAAACCTGATTTTTTTATTTTTTATTTTTTTGTGGTTGTCGTCGTCGTCGTCTCAACTCTAATTTACAAGCAATCTACTTACTTGGTAAAAGATTTTAGAAATGGTAACACGTAATTAATCCAACAACTTTTCACGGCAATTTTTTTTATTTTTTTTTTGAAGTACATTTTTATTTTGCTTGTAGTGTAAGCAAACTCATAAATTCTTTGAGAAGTAGAAGAATTAATCCAAAGTGACAAAATCTTTTAGTCTAGTGATGATGCGCATTAACAATGCAGGGACCTAGTACATCATCTTTTGTGCCACATCTATACCACAGGTCCATCAGAGCTTTGTGCAACGCAAATACTTCGGAGGGGTTTAGGCCTTCAAAAGACGTATCCTTCCCGGAGATCAATCTGCTGACAGGCGAAGTCAGGGGGCTCGGTGGGCCCTCTCCTTCGAAACGCACCATCTTGGCTTTCTTTGCAGGTCGTCTACACGGCTACATAAGGTACTTACTTCTAAACCAATGGAAAAACAAAGACCAGGACGTCCAAGTCTACGACCAACTTCCTAGACGAGTGTCTTACCAAGACATGATGAAAAAGAGCAAGTTCTGCCTCTGCCCTAGTGGCTACGAGGTGGCAAGCCCCCGAGTGGTGGAGGCCATTTACGCCGGATGCGTCCCAGTGTTGATCTCCGACGGCTATGTTCCGCCTTTTAACGACGTCTTGAATTGGAAGTCGTTTTCCGTCCAGATTAAGGTGAATGACATACCCAAGATTAAGGAGATATTGATGGGGATTTCCACACGGCACTACTCGAGACTTCAAAGGACACTGAAACTGGTGCAGAGACATTTTCTGGTCAATGCAACTCCTAAGAGATATGATGTCTTTCACATGATTCTTCACTCCATTTGGCTCCGTCGATTAAACGTTCGCTTTCCAGATTACAATAGTGATGCTCACTTTAAAGGCTATCATGACCAAACAACTCAATTAATGCACTAATTGTTGTTTCTCTACTACAACTTCTTACATTACATTTCTTGAAACACTGTTAGTTTCCATTTATAACAAACGATACTGTAAAGAAAAAAAAAAAAAGAAAGTTACGTCATATTCTGCAAATTCTGTTTCCTAAGTTTTCAGAATCACTTCCATCCTCTTTCTTGTTCACCGTTCATATTGTTCTCAATATTGTGAAACCACAAAAATGTGAGAATAATATACTAGTATCCTAGAAAACGACACGACTAAAAAAAACGTCATAAGAAAACGCACCAACTACAAAAACGACATCAAAATAAAGAACCGCATGAACGAACATATAAAAAGAGACAAATATGTTGGAAATTGGAATCGGCTCAGGGTCCCCATAGTCTTTACCATTGCGTTCCTATCTTGAAAATTTATATAATTGGGTCCCAAACTCCTATTTTCTTGGCACTTAGTTCTCATTTCGAAAAGTTGGACAAATAGGTACCCAAACTCCCATTTTTGAAGTGAAACAAGTGTTATCTAGGGAGACGTTTGGTTCATGAATTAAAATCATGTGATTAAAATTATTTTCGATTTACGTGTATTTTTTGTGAGAGAAAATACTGAAGCGAACCACGAACCATGATTCAAATCAGATAACGAATCTAAGTACCAAACATCCCCTAGTTCTCCAAATAAATATCTACCATAGGAACCTCATTGCAAAAAAAAAAAAAAGAGAGAGAGAGAGAAGGGAAATTAGGGACCTAAAATCTAATTTTCAAAATTGAGACCCAAATGCCAAAGGTCCAAACATTTGGGGACTCCGTGTGCAATTTACTCTTTTTCCCCTCCTCATCCTCCTCCTCCTTATTCTTCTTCGAAAGGGCTCGTGTAGTTATTGGCTCCGTTTACTTCACCAATTCGAGTTTTGCTACAGTAAAAAGCTCTCACAAACAATCACATTTAATTTTTTTATTACAGTAAAAAACTCTCATATAAAATTACATCTCAACTCGAATCAGCGAAGTGAACGGACCCATTGAGTTCTCAAAATGACTCACTGCTTTTAGCTGCAACTCAAAATCAAATCCAACAGTCATTTCCTTGGCTGAAACATCTATTTTTGCTTTTCTAACTATCTTTTTCTTCCAGATTTTATTTAGTCCACCAATTATTCATTTCTCTTCTATGGCGGTATGTTCATGTTAATAATGCTTGCAACTTTTTCGTTTTCTTTTTTAATATTTTATTTGTGGGAATTTGAGTTTCAACCCTAATGAATAATGATAATGTTGGCTGGTTGTAGATCGACAGAATTTTCAAAGATGAAGCGAGCGAAGAGAAAGGGGAGAGGGCCAGAATGGTGAGTTTCGCGTATTAGTTAATTTAGTTTTTGTCTTTGTAGTTTGTACTACTGAGTCTGAGTTAATCAACATTTCGCATTGCCTGATCTGATGGTTCCAATATTTTATTTTCTTTTATTGTAGAGCATAAATCTTTATTTTTCTTAATGCTTGTGAAAAACGAATGAGTTGAACAAGATTCTGAAATTAAGCTTCTTTCTTTCAACACACAATGCAATACTGTAGAGTCTGAGTTATGATGGGAAAGCCTTTCAATACCATTATTTGTAAATACTGCTGTTATTAATGCCCATTCACTGACTTTTACTTATCCTTGTTCTTTTTATAATTATTTTAGGCATCGTTTATTGGTGCAATGGCAATAGCTGACTTGGTCAAGACAACCCTAGGACCAAAGGGAATGGTAAACTCCTTTTTTTTTCCTTTTCTTTTTAAATGAGTAATTTTGCATTATTGTGATACATTGCAAATTAAAGAACACTTATAATTATATTTTTTGATAGAAAATTTGAAAATTGGTTCTCCAAAATATGCTTTGCAGGATAAAATTTTACAATCAACAGGTAGAGGACATGAAGTTACTGTTACCAATGATGGTGCCACCATTCTAAAGTCCCTGCACATTGACAATCCTGCTGCTAAAGTTCTAGTTGGTATCCTTATAGTTGGTTTTTTTGGTATTATTATGGTGCTTATAACTGGTTTTGGGAATTCCTGCTATTTGTCATTATACTTGTATAAGGTTGCGAGAACCGTTCTTGAAGCACATTATCAGCTCTGCATTTTTTTAGTTATCTTAACGTAGGAGCTAGACATTTCAAAAGTACAAGATGATGAAGTTGGTGATGGGACAACTTCTGTTGTTGTTTTGGCTGGTGAACTTTTAAGGGAAGCAGAAAAGCTCGTAAACGCAAGGATTCACCCAATGACTATCATCTCAGGTTTTGTTACGTGATTGTTAATTGTCTTATGCTATTTTTACTAACACTAGGTGATGTTGTAAACAATTCTGTATTTTATTGTTTAGGTTTTCGAATGGCAGCTGAATGTGCCCGTAAAGCCCTGCTGGAGAAAGTCGTGGATAATAAGACCGATTCTGGTATTTATTGCTGTTTAGAGCCTATATCCATTTTTTTTAGCCTTTTGTGGAGTGTCCTTTAATATGATTGTTAAAAAGTTATGTCATTAAGTAAGCTTTCTTTTGTAATTCTAAAGTGATGTTCTAGGCCTACGTTATTTTCATGTTCAATCCTGGATAAGGCATTTCTTTTTCTGATAGCCTTACTCATGTAATTTTTCTAAGATTGCAAATGCTGGATTGTGTAGAGAAATTCAAATCAGACTTGATGAAGATTGCAAGGACTACTTTGAGTTCCAAAATTCTCTCACAGGACAAAGAACATTTTGCTAAACTTGCTGTGGATGCTGTACTACGACTTAAGGTAATTCATTAATTCACATCTCTCAGGGCTTTCAAAAACTGTTTCGAAATGAAGCTAAGTGGTGGTCCTTGTTTGTAAAATTGTGATTTACTGTGCAGTTGGTACAATGTTGCATGTAATTGTTTTACTTTGTTGTAAAACTACTTGAGCTCCAATTTTCTGCTCATATTGTTTGACAAAAATCTTGACAATGACAGGGAAGCACTAACTTAGAGGCTATTCTGATCATAAAGAAGCCTGGGGGATCCCTAAAAGATTCCTTTTTAGATGAAGGGTGGGTTATGTTGAATTTATTTCTTATGTTCTATTTTCATGTTGCAATTGAACTTGCAGTTAGTCTCATGTTTATTACAAGGCGCATATAACTTTTCTAGATTGATAATCTAATTCCTTTATTTTGGTAAAATAGGCTTTACATATATATATATATATGTATGTATATGTACGCATGTATATGTAGATAGCTTTAAGTACTTTGGAAGCTAGGCGACATTTGATAGAAAGTGCTCTATCTTTAAATTTCTTGATTGGACTAGAGTTCTATATTAGTTGATGGTGGTCCATTCTTGCTAATATACTTAGATTCTGCTTGGTCAGGTTCATTCTTGACAAGAAAATAGGTATTGGGCAGCCCAAACGCATAGAAAATGCAAAGATTTTGGTGGCAAATACTGCTATGGACACAGACAAAGTGAAGATCTATGGGGCCCGTGTTCGTGTTGATTCAATGTCCAAGGTTGCTGAAATTGAAGGGGCTGAGAAAGAAAAGATGAGAGAAAAGGTTCAAAAGATAATAGGTCATGACATAAACTGCTTTGTTAACCGACAGTTGATTTACAATTTCCCGGAGGAGCTCTTTGCAGATGCTGGAATCCTTGCAATTGAACATGCTGATTTTGATGGCATTGAGCGCCTGGCTTTAGTAACTGGGGGTGAAATTGCATCGACCTTTGACAATCCAGAATCTGTTAAGCTTGGGCACTGCAAGCTCATTGAGGAAATCATGATTGGTGAGGACAAGTTGATCCATTTTTCTGGTGTTGGAATGGGTCAGGCTTGCACAATAGTGTTGAGAGGTGCTAGGTATGTCAAGAAAACATTTCTCTCTCTTTCTCTCCAATGTTGGATTTCCTTTTAATTGCTTGTCCAGTTCTCCCTAACCATGAATATAACGTGATAAACAAACTCAATAGTGGTGTTTCTTCTTCCTCTCCTATTTCTTGATATGAACAAAACGCTCCAAAAGGATTGGTTGCGATACAACACCTTAGGTTAAATGTATGAAAATCAGGTTCTAATTGGGGATTTAAGAATACACTTAGATGACAGACCCATGTTTTTATCTATCAATTGCTTTTTGTTAGAATATGAATTATTGTTGGCTCACCTCCTAATAGCTTACTCTTGAGAGATTAAGTAAACTAACAATTTTTAAATCTATAGAACATGCAAGTTCATATATCCCATTTGCTTTTGGGCCTGGCAAGTGGTTTTCTATTGAAGATTACATTATTAATTGATTGGATTATGTTTCAACTCCACTTGTAGGTCAGATTCGTGTATGTTATCCGTTCTTCTAACCAATAGATAGTCCTACCCAGAAAGGAATATTTTATTTAGGTTTCTATAATAATGTTTATTTTATTAAATGTTCAAATCCTTGCCATTTTATTTGCTCTATTGTTAAGCTTCTTTGTGTCTGCTCTTAAAGTTTAGATGTCAATTCAGTTTCTTCAAGATGTTACAAAATGATTTGTATTATCCTTTTGGCAGCCATCACGTGCTCGATGAGGCTGATAGATCTCTGCATGATGCCTTGTGCGTGCTGTCTCAGACAGTCAATGACAGCAGGGTTTTGCTGGGAGGCGGATGGCCTGAGATGATCATGGCAAAGGAAGTCGATGAGCTGGCCAAGAAGACGCCCGGAAAGAAGTCCCATGCAATTGAAGCTTTCTCGCGGGCACTCTTGGCAATTCCAACCATCATTGCAGACAATGCTGGTTTGGAAAGTGCTGAGTTGATCGCTCAACTCCGCGCAGAACACCAAAAAGAAGGATGCACTGCTGGAATTGATGTCATCACTGGTTCTGTAAGCACTTGGCTCTGTCTTTCTTCTTCTTCTCAAATTTTAATGACTTCAGAAGACAACAGAAGATGGGGCTATTTATTGACTTTGCATAGGAGTCCTAATTTGACTGTAGTTAGGTTTCAATTCATGCACAGAATCCTCTAATTCCGAAATTTCGACAGGTTGGAGATATGGCGGAACTAGGAATTTCAGAAGCATTCAAAGTTAAGCAGGCCGTATTGCTTTCTGCAACAGAGGCTGCTGAGATGATTCTTAGGGTTGATGAAATTATCACGTGTGCGCCACGGAGAAGAGAAGACGGAATGTAGAAGAGATGTGGATCGTTTTGGCTGGGAAACAACATTTGTTTTAACATCTAACCCCGGCATGTGCTCTGTCGTTGATTACTATAAACACTCATAGTTGGATCATGGATGGGACGACAAATATAGCCGAGAACTGGGTTGGGTTGTGGAGGAAATTTTTGTTGGCTCGTCCCTTTTTTTTTTTTTTTTTTTTTTGTGTTGTGGTGGTGCGCTTGTTAATCTTATGAGAGATACTTTCCGTTTTGGTTGTGGGCCATATGGCACGGATGTTATTTAATTTGCAAGCGGAAAAAGAGACAAAAACGGAGAGAAGGTTTTCAAGTAACCCAGCTGGGAAAATTGGAATGGAATCAGCTGTTCCAAAACCAGAGAAAATGGAGAAAGTTTGTGGCTAGCAAGTTGGGATTTCCACTGAATATGAACTTATCCCATTGGAAACAAACTGTCTATCAACTGTTGCTAGAAAATGACTTAAAAATGCTGCAAAAAATCAAGTGCAAAGGCATTATTTATTTTAAAAGGAGCCATTATTTTTACTTGGAGAAAGTAAAACCAAGTCACCATCACATGGCAAAAAAAAAAAAAAAAAAAAAAAAAAAAAAAAAAAAAAAAAAAAGGCAGCGATACAAACAACATTATACAGTCGCGCGGTTTCGAACACCTAAAACACAACCAAAGCGGCCCAAATTTGTCAGTCAAAAACAATTTGCTTTATTTCACAATTGATATGAGAGAAAAATATTGTAATAATAAAATTTAATTATAATTTGAGTTGTGAAAAAAAATAATACTTAATTAAAATTTAATTATGACTTGAGTTGTAAAAAGAATAATAGATTCATAGTTATTTATTTATTATTTATTAATTTGGTAGCCTGGCTTCACTTTTGTTAAAAAAATAAAAAATAAAAAATAAAGAGAGAGAGAAAGAAAATGTGGAAGACAATACATAATTGAAATATAAAGTACAATGCACTAACATTAAACACACATAGTCCTGTCCTTGTAGTTGTACTTGTACTCCTCCTTTCCCACAGCCTCATTATTGTTTTCATCAATCTCCACTGTTTTGTTGAAATAAAAAATAAAAAATAAAGAGAGAGAGAAAGAAAATGTGGAAGACAAAATAGAGTACAAAACAATACATAATTGAAATATAAAGTACAATGCACTAACATTAAACACACATAGTCCTGGTCCTTGTAGTTGTACTTGTACTCCTCCTTTCCCACAGCCTCATTATTGTTTTCATCAATCTCCACTGTTTTGTTGTTCATCCTCCTTTGTTTGCAGTCTTTTCCGTTTTTGCTTTAACTCTTTATTTATTTATTTAACCTCTCAACTCCTTGCACTAGACGTTCTATCCTTTATACTCTTACGAATACTTTATAATTCTTCACTCTCAAATTTGAGCATTGGAGTGCCTTCTGCAAGTACATCAGCATGGAAACGACAACAAGCGCGGAATGCATAAGAAACGACAATATTATCAAGGACATCAAAATTTTTCCTTCTTTAAAAGCTCGTTTACGTATAACTCACAAGTCACAACAATTACACCGAATTATCATATTTATTATTTTATCTTCTCACAAAAATTATGCAGTTTCTAGTCCCTAAACAAGGATAGTTTTGTACCTAACCAGCAAAAAAATAAAAAAAGAAAAAAAATTTGAACCCATTGCAGCTTCAATTGTTAATGAAATGGAGAAAGAACACTCGGGTGTTGGAAAAGGAAACTCTAGGCGTTTTGGGAAAGGAAAAACAAAGAAAGAGGCCAGACCCAGAGGAAGATGACAGATGGGTGTGTCTTGTTTCCACTTGGCCTGATATGCAAGGTAGTACTTGGTCTCGATTAATTCTTATAAAAATATATATAATTTTCGTGCTTCTGGTATTCTTGAAGAAGCAAGGGTAGTTAAAAGAGATATCATGAGGCTTGTGGTTTTACCAGCAGCTATTCTCACTTTGATTACCATATTCATCTCTCTACTCCGTTTCATGCGACCGTCCGAATGGAATATTATTATTGGTAATTCTCCTCAAAATAATAATTATTATAATAACAATATCTCTCGACAACACAGCCCTGCTCATGATTATCACAGCATATCCGGTCTTGCTCCTCAAATAGTAAGAAATCTCTCCCTGCAATCTGCATGCACGAGTTATTTAATTTATTTCTTAATTAAAAGAGAAAAACCCACAAAACGTTTAATTGGGCAATATTCAATTATTTATTTATTTGGAACTGTTGGTTTAATGTTTTGTAGGTGGGGGAAGAGATTAATAATATATCAATTAGTGGCATGAATGTGAATTCAACAACAAAAAGAATATTTGGAAAAACAAGATTGAGTAGCAGCCTTGATAAATTGGAAGCCAGGTTGAGCAGAGTTCGGGCTTCCATAAGAAGAGAAGCTGCTCTTGTTAAGAACATCAATATTTCGACATCCAATTCCTCCACTCTGAATTATCATTTAGATGATGTTCACCATGTTCCTCGAGGTCGGGCATACAGGAACCCAAATGTTTTCCACAGGTAGGTAGCTTAGGAATTTATTTATTGTTAAATAAATATTAGTTTCTGATTCAGATAATAATAAAGCACCCCACCCATTTGGATTTGGAGTAGTGCTACTATACTAGTACTCAAATTAAGCAGATAGATACATTGCTAGCTAAGCTGTTCAAATTATATATGTATGATTTTATGTTAGTCCAACAGGAGTTACTTGGAGATGGAGAAGCGGATGAAGATATATGTATATGAAGAAGGAGACGTTCCAATATTCCATGGGGGACCATCAAGAAGCATATATGGAACAGAAGGGAGATTTATTTATGAGATGGAAAAGGGAACATTGTTTCGCACAACTGACCCAAACAGGGCTATTGTTTATTTCATGCCTTTCAGTGTGGTGAGAATGGTTCGTTATATTTCCCGCAACCACAAAGCCATGGGACGTGTAATCAAAGACTACATCAACCTCATCTCCCGTACATATCCCTTCTGGAATCGAACTCTTGGTCCCGACCATTTTATGCTCTCCTGCCATGATTTGGTACTTACTACTTACCATTTTTCCCCTCCTTCATCATCCCCCACCTTGTTTCTAACTTTAAAATATATATATATATATATATATATATTCCTGAGAATTTTGTGGTAAAGTACTTAAATCCAAAAAGCTCAAAGTACGAACAGAAAATTTTGAGATGAACTACAGTATACACACTCTCTCTTCTGTAGTGAATGTTAAATGTTATAGATATAGATTGTTTGTCAGTCTGATTGTTACATTGTGTTAGGAACCTAATATTTAAAAGTCCTTTTTAATAGTCGTAAGGAGAATATAAATAGGGGGTTTAGTGGCTAGGGAAGGGATAATCAGATTTGTAAAGAGTGTCTAGTGTTGTGCACTATTTTGGAGGTCGGGGGTCCTCGAAACCGCCCATCTATCTTGTAATTTTCCATTTCTAGTATTATGAATGAAGTATAGATTTTCAGGATCCTAACAATGGTATCAGAGCATCTACGATCCATGGAGCTTTTTGAGTTAAGAGAGAAACTTAGGGCTGTTCTCAGAGCTAATCTCAAGGTTTCTGGAGGGAGTATGGGGGGGCTCCGGGACCAGGTGGGGAAGGTTCGGACTCAGATGGAAGACGTGCAGGCGGTGCTGCGGAGGATGGAGGCACTGCTAGCGGCGCAGCCGATGGCCGGGAAGGCCGAGTTGGGTCGCGATGGCGAACGACAAGACGGGGAGAGGCGAGATCGCGCGCCTCGAGGTGAGGAGAGCCCATATCGTGTCAACCCAGGCGGAGTGGAGGTGCCAAATCGGGCGGATCTTCGCCGGGAAGCGCCGATTCGCGAAGATCGAGGCCGCGAGAGGGAGTTCCGACGCCGGAGAGACGTGGGTCTCATGGAGGCCCGCGATATCCGTCACGATCTGGGGCTGGGTGGTCCGGATCTGCAACGTGAGGGGTTATTTGACGACGGGAGGAGGGCAGACGGAGGTCGCGACCGTCGGGAGAGGGCGGCGGAGCTTGTTCGGCGACGGGAATCAGAGTGGGAACCGGAGTTAGAGGAGGAGAGGCTTGCTCCGGGGCTGGGACGACATGGGTACCCTCAGAACAGGGAACCCATCCCTGTTTCGGTCACAGTTGGGGCTGATTCCGGACCGATTTGGACTGGGCCTCGCGATTCCGGCGTGAAAGGGGCTGAATCCGGTGCTACGGAGACAGATCCCGGCGCGATGGAAGCTGGGCTCGACGATTTAGCTGCTGTTTGGACTGGGCCTCGCGATTCCGGCGTGAAAGAGGCTGGTTCCGGTGCTACGGAGGAAGATTCTGGCGGAATTGGAGTAGGGTCCATGAATTCCGACGCCCTTAAGGCTGGGTTTTGTGATTTTGACACCATTGGGGCTAGCTCCGGCGAGATGATGGCTAGGACGGGGAATTCCAATGCGAAATCCGGCGATTTTGGGGCTGAATCCCAAAATTCTGTTCGGAAGTGGGCTGGGTTTAGTGTTTTTGGTATGGGTAGAGTCAATTTTGGGGTTGGGCCTCGTAATTACAATATTAGTAGGCCTAATTCTGGTGCAATGGCAGTCGAGCCTCAAAACTTTAACACGTTTGGGGTTGGGAATGGTACGATTGCAGATGGGAATGAAGAAATTGGTGAGAGTGAGGCTGAAAGGTTGATGTCCTGGTTGGCTAAGAAGGAACTCCCTTAGTGAGGATCGATTTGCCAATATTTTTTGTGACCATTGATGAGCTTGCGCAGAGAGTTTCAAATGAATTGATAGAATTTGTGGTTGCTTTCCAAGATACAAAGAAGATGGTGAAGAAAGTAATTGATTGGCTCCAATTTGAAGATATGACTTACGAGGATAACATCAATTTGGTTACTCAAATCAACGAACTAACAAAGCCTTTTATTCTTAATCATTTAGATGTTATTTTTTAATTTTATTTCTTGATTTTCACCTTGAGGACAAGGTGATTCTTTAGGACGGGGGTAATGTTAGGAACCTAATATTTAGAAGTCATTTTCAATAGTCTTAAAGATAGTATAAATAGGGGGTTTAGTGGCTAGGGAGGGGATAATCAGATTTGTAGATAGTGTCTAGTGCTGTGCACTATTTTGGAGGTCGGGGGTCCTCGAAACCGCCCATCTATCTTGTAATTTTCCATTTCTAATATTGTGAATGAAGTATAGATTTTCAGGATCCTAACACATTGCAAAATGACATAAGCGATGATAGAACCACCTTTATATTGTTTGCTTTTATGCATGGCTGCCTTTTTCCTTGTCTTAGGTGAAATAAGGCACACTTGCCTTATAATTGGTTTGGGCTTGAACCGATGTGGCACAATGTTACTGCTAAAAGTGAAACCAAGACCTCCTACATAGTGATAATCTCATCTTGTTTTCTTTTCTGGTCCGGATGAGTGATGGTTTCATTCTAACTGGATGTTCAACTTTTTTTTTGTTTTTGTTTTCCTAACGCAACAAAGAAAGCAAAATTTAGTAATACATATTATTCTAATTAGGATTTAACATTATTAATCTATGATCTATTAGCATTGTGACGCTTTGATTTTGTTCTAGTCTTTCTTTACTAAATCAAACAGCTCAACCATAATGTTGTATGTACATATTTACAATGCAGGGGCCAATAGCATCATCTTTTGAGCCTCATTTATTCCAAAACTCCATCAGAGTTTTGTGCAATGCAAACACTTCAGAAGGGTTTAAGCCTTATAAAGATGCATCTTTCCCAGAAATCAATTTGCGGACAGGGCAGCTCATGGGGGTTGGAGGGCTCTCTCCTTCGTCTCGGTCCATTCTCGCATTCTTTGCAGGCGGTCTGCATGGCCACATCAGGTACTTGCTTCTAAACCAATGGAAAAACAAGGACCCCGACATCCAAGTCCACGAACAATTTCCAAAAGGAGTGTCCTACCAAGACATGATGAGAAAGAGCAAGTTCTGCCTCTGTCCCAGCGGCTATGAAGTGGCCAGCCCACGAGTGGCGGAGGCTATATATGCTGAATGCGTGCCAGTGTTGATCTCCGATGGTTACATCCCGCCCTTCAGCGATGTATTAGATTGGAGTTCGTTTTCTGTGGAGATTAAGGTGAAAGACATACCAAAGATTAAGGAGATATTGATGGGGATTTCAACGCAGCAATACTTGAGAATGCAAAAGAGAGTGAAGCAGGTGCAGAGGCATTTTGTGGTAAATGCACCTCCTAAGAGATATGATTTTTACCATATGATTATTCACTCCATTTGGCTCCGCAGGCTAAACATTCAAGCTCAAAATCACAATGAGATTGAGATTCATTCCTGAGTCCTAAGCCTAGCCGTGACCAAAGTAACCCTTTCATACATTTGCTATAATAGTCTTGTGACCTGTAGCGAGCTAGCTATATGTACAACATAATACTTGATGAGTTTTATTCAAAAAGAAACTATTACACTTTCCTTTTAAAACAAAAGACAATATTGTAGAACACTTGTACCAAATCTGCAAAATATATACATATCTGTGAATAATGTCTCTTTTAATTGTAAGGCAGTGATGGTTGTCGTCTATTTATTAAAGTGAGAAAGGGCAGGTCGTTAATGTGTAGTGCTAGTGTTATTCTCTTCGTTGTTTTGTTTCTAATTTCACACCAATATTCGTCTTTTCTAATAGTAGGTAAGAATGTTTCAGCAAGCAAGATCCATTCTTTATGCAAAGGCATTCACGAGGGGTAAACTTTGGCCTACTTTATAGAAACAAATAAATAAAGAGAAGCCACGTTTTTGAAGCAAAAATTTTGGGGCTTATCTCTCACCGAGCTGGCTCCGTTATAGTCTCCAATCCATCAACGTATTTGTCTATTTCATTCATGTGCACCAGCAATCAAGGATGAGTTGGCCTTGTACCATTTGAGATATATAGCTAGTCATTAAGTAGTGATAGCCAACAATCAACATATACTCATATGGTCAAATATTAAGTTTAAGATTCTGAATATCAATTTTAATGTCGTTTTAAAGAGAGAGAGAGAGATATATATATATATATATATATATATCGAAAGAAAGAGATGAGGCTTCGTAACATGTCTACTACTTTTCTCTCCTCCTCCTCCTCCTCTTGTTGTGTTGCCTCTAATCCCTTTGGTTGCCTTACTCTTGGCATTCTTAGATTTCGCAAAACTGGATTGCGCGAGATCGTCACCAGCTTCCATTACTTTGAAATGGGAATTGGTTAGTAATTCTTCATTTGGCTATTCTGGCTCTGTTAGTGTTAATTCATCTGCATCTCTACAACACAGCGCTACTGAGAGTCCATTGTACATGACATCTAGTAATAGTAGTACCAGAACTAGTACTAGTACTCCCGCCCCTAAAATAAGAATGGATGTAAGGTTAAATAGAGTGGAAGCAAGGTTGGCTAAAGCACGAGCTTCCATATAACAGGCTCTTCTCTTTAGCAACAAATATAATAAGAAAAATTATCATATTTATCCCGATGGGGATAAAACTCCATCATTCACAAAATGGTAGGTCCCATCTAGCTGGATCCATCAGGATGAATAAGGGTGCTCATATAATAATTCTACATCCACCACCAATATACTAGACCCTGACTTTGTTCCTCACGGTCAAGTTTACTTGCACCCAGATGCTTTCCACAGGTATTTCTCATCGTATGCTTTGAAAATTAGAACAAATTAACACACACACACGTATATATAATGGTTTATCAGCTAGTTATGTACGTGTAGGAGTTACATATAGATGGAGAAGTTGTTGAAGATATATATGTATACGGAGAAGGAGAGCCTCCAATGTTCCACGACGGACCATGCACGAGCGCGCGCGCACACACACACACACACACACACACACACATATATATATATATATATATATATAGACACACACACACACACACATATCCCACGGAGCGAGGGAAGATTCATCCATGAGATGGAGAAAAGGCAATCTGTTCCGCACATGAGAATATCCCAACGAGGCAATTGTCTACTTTTTGCCGTTTAGTGTGGCTCGAAAGAATGGTTAAGTATCTTTTACACAAAAGGAATCGCATGAAACGCGTGGTCGTTGACTACATGAATCTCATACATCCCACCTAAAAAATATGATGTCTTCCACACGACTCTTACATTCCATTTGGCTCCGCAGGTTAAACGTTAGGATTCAAGATCATGGTACTCAATCCTAACTCCCATGCCTTATTTGTCCTTTGTCATGTATTTATAGAAAAACCAACTATTTAACTTATTCAATTACGCCTTGTGAACACAAAGGAACTATATTACAAGGTAGTTACTGAGAAGTGGCTGCTAGTATAATAACGATAGGATTATTTTGTTTGTTTACACATGTCAGTCACAACTTTCTTTTTCTACATTTCCGGGTTGACTAAAACCAAATTAGAGAATTTTATATGCCGTACTATAGACAACATTTAGTTTTCATAAAGACAACAGCCCTCTAAACTGAGTTAGATAAATAGCGAAATACATGCACAGGGAAGTGCGGGGTCACAGCATTGCAGACATTTTTATACCAATTATTATTTGTCCGAATCACAGACACAAATAAGTGATATAACTTGCTATTATGGCATTGAGACTGTAAATACATAAAAATAACTCGACATGAAAGATGCAGACTAACTTATTTGGAATTCTCCACTTGCATGAACCTCTTTGACCCTTTTGTCGTACTCGTCCTCCTCGTCTTCTTCTTCTTCGACTTCTTCATCTATATCTTTGTCATCCTCATCTTCTTCTGTTCCCCAACCAAAGCCCCGGACAGATTTCGAAACTGGAGGTGGGGTTCTTGCCTCCCCAACTATCTTCATGATCTCATCCACGCTTTGGAGAGAAAAGCTCGGATTTTCCCTCTGGTAATAGATGGCTTGAGCTGAATCTGTTAGTTCCCTTGGCAAATTCTTTAAAAACCATGGGTGGTTCTTGATTTCTTTGATTGAAATTCTCTGCAGAATCAGGTACAGTTTGAAAATCAAAGGTTCCAATATCATAGTAATAAAAGTCAACTGTGCAAAAAACAAATTAAAGGTACTTCATTTCTTAATCCAGATTCACTTGTATCTGAAGCACTTCCACATATTACAGATTTAAGCTAGCCTTCTGCCTCCTTACTAACCCCAAGCTTAAGGTAGTTGAGCAAGTCTCCCACAGAATGTTAGTAGACAAGCAGGTGAATCAATTTAAAACCAAAAAAGGAGGAGCGAGTTCCACTTCATTTATCAAAAGGCTGACCATTAAGACCAAAATTCATAACACATGCAATCTGTTATGTACCAAGATGACGCTGATAGAATTTCAACTTTGGGGAGATACGTAACTAGTCGCTTTGTTTTAAGAAGCCAAATTATATGTCAATGAAGTGGAAAACCAAATAATTTCGGAAAACATTTCTAAATCACCAATAGAGACTTTATGTGCAGTGTTGATACAAAAAAGATACTTACTCTGGATGGGCTTGCAAGAAATAAGCGAGAAAGTAGATGCCTACAGTCTTGAGATATGTGAACATAGTCGGGGATTTTGTACTGAACAGCCATTATTCGCTGCAGAATCATGAGAGAAGGTATAAGAACTCAGAACAAACTTTGCATTTGAAAAGAAAGTAACCGACGCATTACCTGAATAGTTTTTCTGAAATTCTTGGGATCATCTTGGTCTTCAAAAGGGTAGGCACCAACCAGCATCACATAGAGAGTCACTCCACATGACCAAACATCAGCCAACTATAAAAAAGCAGGAAAACATGTCAGATTACAAATGCACTTGCTCAAGGCAACATGCATTTAAAGACAGATCACCAGTCAAAAATAAATTTACTACTTTTCCTTGAGCTTTTCAAGTTTCTTATTGTTCGAGTAGCTATCCATTACCAAATTAAGTTGGCCCTAACTGATGAGTAATGAATCATAAAACATTGTCTATATTGGTTAAGTTTCCCCTCCTCTCTTCTAGGTAATATAAGAATTGAGACTTAAAGTCAACACCCCACTCACACCACAGAAAGGCCAAAGGCATAAAATTCTTAATAAAGTATCACCAATCAATATAAATATTAAGGTTAGAGCTACAAACGGGAATGAGGGGTTTAATATCACGTCTCAAAGGAGCTCGCGAAAACACTAATAAGCCCCTAGACTTTGCATGTGGCCCCGGGTCAACCAAGAGGACATAAGAAACCTAAATTTCTTTAGGTGCAAGCTACTCATAAACTTTCAAAATTCAGCAACCAATCAATGGACAAAGGAGCCCGCCCTAAAGTGCTAAGATGGCCATTGCTTTTATAAAGTCAAAAGGCTATGCAAATTCCAAAAAAGAAAAAAAAAATGGAGGGGGCGACTATATTTCAGGACCCAAAAGGACATGTTGGTCTAACATGTGCTAGGCTAGGTCCATGAACAATGTAATATGTGCATAGCCATTAAAAAAATAATAAATAAAAAATTAAAAAAAAAAAAAACTTCCTTCACTTGGCGAGTAGTAAGATGCACTACACCTTCCAAAAAGTAAAGTACAAGTATTTAAAAATGGTGTAGTAAAGACGATAAGGAGATAACTGAAAAAGGACTAAAACCTCAGAGTGCCAAAGAAGTCGCTCTATTTTATTAGATAAAAATAGTCATTTTCAGTTTTGTTCTCGTTAGGATCTACCTTACTTTTTTCTTTGGCATTTGGAATTGCAAACATCATAACAAAAAGTGGCACAGTACAGACAATGTGAAGGGACAAAGCATAAGCTGAAGCTGAACTGAATAAAAGAAACAAGAAAAAAGACAGAGGAAAGAAATGAAAATTACTTTGCCATCATACTCTCGCCGAGACAAAACCTCCGGTGCAATGTACGCCGGAGTACCAACCGTTGACTTGGGTCTTGAATGCAGCAAAGATGACTGCATAAAAAAAAACAACAAGAGAGAACAAATTAACAAGGACATCCCTTTTTTTTATCGACTGAAATTCTTCACTCCATTTTTTCAACCTACACTAAACTAGATCAAGCTTAATTTCTTGGTTTTTTTTTCTTTTTTTTTTTGGGTAGGGGGCTTGAAAAAAAAAAAAAAAAAATTGTCTTTCCCAAACCTTGGAGTAGCCAAAATCACATATTTTCAAGCGCGGAGCAGGGCTACCATCTAAAAGCGTGTTTTCCAGCTTCAGATCTCTATGGCATATTTGCTGCAAATGCAAAAGAAAATAAGCAAAAATCATAACTACAGTTATTATTGAGAAAGAAAAAGGAGGGTCAAATTATTCATGTCATAAGTTGAGTCCGCTTGATTTTACCATGGAATGGCAATAATTGACTCCAGAAATAAGCTGCTGAAAGAAATATCTAGCCTGTACAAATAAAATAAACTTTTATGATATCACAGTCAAAAAGAGAAATTGAAGTAGAGACTAGAGAGACATTTCGAAAAGTATGATAAAAAAATCCCTCCCCTCCTACTTCCTAGTTCAAGTGTCAGTCTCTCTTAAATGTCATAGAACTAGATCCCAAAAAAGTTGATTCTTAACAAATCTTTCTTTTGTTCACGATTATTCCCTTCCTAATTTAATTTGAATCCAATCCTTATTATCCAATTTTTACTTTTATATATAATTTCTAAGAGTATAAGAGAGTATTTTGTAACTTTTTCTTGAAAATTGAAGAGAGAGAGAGAGAGAGAGAGAGAGAGAGAGAATGGTAGGTAGAAAGGGAGGGGAGTGGAACCTCGTCTTCACTGAATCTGCCGGCATTGCAGATTCGGTCAAAGAGTTCTCCGCCAGCAGCGTACTCCATTACTATTGCCAGATGCGTCGGAGTTAATACCACCTGCCGATTATTATGGAAAAATTCCCAAATAATTTATATATAAACTCAGACTAAATTCTTCTTTTCTTTTTTTTTTTTTTATCAAGGAAGAAAAAACTAGCCTCCTTGAAGCGGATGATGTTGGGATGACGAAGCGATCTGTGGTTTATGATCTCTCTCGCCACATTCTCATCTATCTGCATCAATTAAATTAAATTAAATTTGTGTCACAACAAAAAGTGCAAAAAAAAAAAAAAAAAAAAATTGATCTTTGTGTTCTTCAAGATTATGGGAATTAAGAACCTTGTGGCCTCGCTCGATGTATTTCATAGCGACGAGCTCCTTGGTGTCCTTATGACGCAAAAGCCTGGCGACTCCGAAATTACCAGCTCCCAAATCCTTCACCACCTCATACTTGTCCATTTTGACTTTAATTAATTTTCTACTCTGCAGATTCACTCTTATATTTGAACACGAACTCAACTTAGTTTCGTTTTTGTGAATGCAATTGCAAAACACCAAGTAAAACACTCGACCACTGCACTCAGGGAGGGAGGGACGAGTGAGGATTGGATCCACACAGCCTGACTGCCTTTATATATATATATATATTATATATATGTATGTATGTATATATATATATATATATCTATATCTGTATCTGCGTGTATATGGGCAAAGCTCAGAGCTTCAGAAAGATAGAGAGAGAGAGAGAGAGAGAGAGAGAGAGAGAGAGAGAGAGAGAGAGAGAATTGTACATGTGGGGCAACTGGCAAGTGTGCACTTGATATAAATTATTTAAATAATTAAAAAAGAAAAAGAAAAGAAAGTGCGAAGGGAGGGAGAGAGAGAGAGAGAGAGAGAGAGAGGGAGGCAGTGGGAGTGTATGGGAAACCATGACTGATGACTTCTCAATTGACGTGATGACTCAGATCACCAGCTTGAATCCAATCACTGCCTCTTCATCGTCGGTTACTGTTTTTCATTTTTCATTTTTCTTTTTAAAGTACCACAAAAATTTGTCTTACTACCGATGAATTTCTTTTTTTTAATGATTATAATTTTTTTATGGCTTATTTATTGGGGTGAATAAAAAATATGACAACCCATGAATTCAAGTCTCGTTCATTTTATCGATTTGAGTTTAAATTTTAACTTTTGATATAGTAAAAAGTTTTTAAAAATAATCACATCTAATTTTTTTGTTACAGTAAAAAGCTCTCATATAAAGTCACATCTCAACTCGAATTAAAAATTCGAATCAGCGAATTAAACGGGCCCTCAATTAACCCACTTAATTCAACCCATTTTAACCTAAACTCAACCAACTCGATCAAAAGTTCAACTCAATTCACCTAACCCGGCTATTAATTGGGTGGGTTTGGGTTGAGTTCTTAATTCAAATTAACCGAACCCACCCGATCATTAATCTATATAAATAAATATTTTCTTACATCATAATATATAGTTTTTATCTCATATTTTATATTATTTACTTGACAACTTATTATGTTTTACATTATTAAACAGCTTGTTTTGCATATATTTTATTTTCATATTGGTTTATAACTTATGTGATAATTTTGGAGTTTTATAAGACTAATATTATGATAAAAGTTAGATTTTTTTTATACATTTTTTATTTTGGGTTGAATGATTAGCTTTATTTATTTATTTATTTATTTTTCCGATCAACCAACCTAAATTTTAATTGGGTGGGTTTATTTTAAACTTTAGGTTGATTGGGTGGGTTAAATTTGAAATCAACCCATCCAAACTTAATTGGGTGGGTTAAAAAATCTCAAAAACCCACCCAACCCACCCGATGTTTGAGACGAACCTCCTGTGAGGCCGCCACGG